GTCCAGCAGTAGAGACACCACCGCTGCTCCACAAGACTTTTCCTTCTGCCATTTTATCACAGCATCCCTGGTACACGCAGCAAAGTGCCACCCTGTGTAGTTGTCCATCTCTTCCAGCCTCAGAGGTATCTAACGAATCTTTAAAGGGAAGTTGAAAGCCTAGGCCTACATATTGTTGTCTCTCTGTTAACTGAGTCAACAAGTCTCAGACTGCTTGTGAAATACTCACATGAATACCTAGAGCAGACCAACAATACTGTGTTTAAGCAAGGAACTGCAACCAGCATGGCGAAACCTCTCCCAGGCACTAATTTGAATGGGTTACTGTTATGCAACATGCAAACTGAAATTCACTTGAATTGATACATTATCATATCACAGAAATAAATATCTAACACCAAGTTACCTCTATATCCAATGGTGTTGATCGGCAAAGCCACAATTTTTGAAAAGAGCCAATGCATACAGCCTTTAACTCATCTAAATACATAGTTTGGATTCATTAGCCTCACAGTTTTCAGTTGCTTTTGGTTTCTGCATCTTACCTGGTCTTTTCAATCATAGAACATAGAAAGTCAAACAGGGTGGCACAGAAACAGGCCCTTCAGCCCATCATGTCTATGCCGACAATGATGCCATTCTAAACTAATCTCATCTGCCACCACATGGTCTATATTTCTCTGTTCCCTGCCTGCTCGTGTATCTGTCTGAATGCCACTTAAATGTTGCTATCATATCTTGTCTACCACTTCCCCTGGCAGCACATTCCAGGCACCTAGCATCCTTTGTCGAAAAATCCCCTTGCACGTCTCCTTTAGGATTGGCGATGGACTAGTGGTATTATTGCTAGACTATTAATCCAGAAACTCAGTTAATGTTTAAAAAAAATTTGGAATTACGAATCTACAGATTACCATGAAATCATTGTCAATTGTCGGAAAAACCCATCTGGTTCACTAATGTCCATTAGGGAAGGAAATCTGTCATCCTCACTTGATCTGGCTTACATGTGACTCCAGACCCACAGCAATGTGATTGACTCTCAACCAGCCTGGCAAGACATTCAGTTGTACCAATCGCTACAAAGTCTCAAAGAAATGAAACTGGACTGATCACCTGGCATTGACCTAGGCACCGGAAAAGACAACGGCAGAAACAGCCCTGTCAACCCTGTATAGTCCTCCTCACTAACATCTGGGGGCTAGTGCCAAAATTGGGAGAGCTGTCTCACAGAATAGTCGAGCAACAGCCTGACATTGTCATACTGATGGAATCATATCTTACAGACAATATCCCAGATACCACCATCACCATCCCTATCCCTGGATACGTCCTGTCCCACGGTAGGACAGACCTGGCAGAGGTGGTGACACAGTGACATACAGTCATTCTGTGAGTCCTTAATATTGACTCTGGACCCCATGAAGTCTCATGGCTTCAAGTTAAACGTGGGCAAGGAAACCTCCTGCTGATTACCACGTACCGTCCTCCCTCAGCTGATGAATCAGTACTCCTCCATGTTGAACAACACTTAAAGGAAGCACTGAGGGTGGCAAGGGTGCAAAATGTATGCTGGGTAGGGGATTTCCATGTCCATCACCAACAGTGGCTCAACAGCAATACTACTGATTTAACTGGCCAGATCCTACAGGACATAGCTGCTAGACTGGGTCTGCGGCAGGTGGTGAGGAAACAAACAAAAGGGTAAAACATACTTGGCCTCATCCTTACCAATCTACCAGCTGCAGTTGCACCTGTCCATGACAGTATCAGTAAGAGTGACCATCGCACAGTCCTTGTGGAGACGAAGTCCTGCCTTCACATTAAGAACAATCTCCATCATGTTGTGTGGCACTATCACTGTGCTAAATGGGACAGACTTCGCACAGATCTAGCAACTCAAGACTGGATATCCATGTGGCGGTGTAGGCCATCAACAGCAGCAGAATTGTAGTCCAACACAATCTGTAACCTCATGGGCCGGCATATCCCCCACTCAACCACTACCATCAAGCCAGGGGATCAACCCTGGAGAGTATGCCAGGAGCAGCACCAGACGTACCTGAAGAGGAGATCTCAACCTGGTGAAGCCAACAAACAGGGCTACTTGCATGCCAAACAGCGAAAGCAGCAAGTGATAGACAGAGCTAAGCGATCCCACAACCAATGGATCAGATCTAAGCTCTGCAGTACTGCCACATCCAGTTGTGAATGGTGGTGGACAATTAAACATCTCACTGGAGGAGGAGGGTCCACAAATATCCCCATCCTCAATGATGGAAGAGCCCAGCACATCAGTGAAGCATTCGCAGCAATCTTCAGCCAGAAGTGCCGAGTGGATGATCCAACTCTGCTTCCTCCAGTGGTCCCCAGCATTACAGATACCAGTCTTAGCCAATTTGATTCACACCACGTGATATCAAGAAGCGGTTGGAGACACTGGATACTGCAAAGGCTACAGGCCCTGACAACATTCCAGCAATAGTACTGAAGACTTGTGCTCCAGAACTTGCCGCTCTCCTAGCCAAGCTGTTCCAGTACAATTACAACACTGGTATCTACCCGACAATGTGAAAAATTGCCCAAGTGTGTCCTGTACACAAAAAGCAGGACAAATCCAACCCAGCCAATTACCACCCCATCAGACTACTCTCAATCATCAGTAAAGTGATGGAAGGTGTCACCAACAGTGCTATCAAGCAGCACCTGCTCAGCAATAACCTGCTCCGCGATGCCCAGTTTGGGTTCCACCAGGGCCTCTCAACTCCTGACGTCAAAAGAGCTGAAATCCAGAGGTGAGGTGAGAGTGACAGCCCGTGACATCAAGGTTGCATTCGACTGAGTGTGGCATCACAGAGCCCCAGCAAAACTGGAATCAATAGATATCAGGGGGCAAACTCTCCGGAGGTTGGAGTCATACCTGACACATAGGAAGATAGTCATGGTTGTTGGAGGTCTCAGCTCCAGGACATCTCTGCAGGAGTTCCTCAGGGTAGTGTCCTGAGCCCAACCATCTTCAGCTGCTTCATCAATGACCTTCCCTCCATCATAAGGTCAGAATTTGGGATGTTCACCAATGATTGCACAATGTTCGGCACCATTCATGACTCTTCAGATATTGAAGCAGTCCATGTTCAAATGCAACAAGATCTGGACAATATCCAGGCTTGGGCTGACAAGTGGCAGTTAACAATCGCACCACACAAATACCAGGCTATGACCATCTCCAATAAGAGACAATCTAACCACTGCCCCTTGGCATTTCAACAGTTACCATCACTGAATCCCCCACTACAACATCCTGGGGTTTATCATTGACCAGAAACTCAACTGGATTCACCACATAAATACAGTGGCTACAAGAGCAGGCCAAAAGCTAGGAATACTGTGGTGAGTAACTTACCTCCTGACTCCCCAAAGCCTGTCCACCATCTACAAGGTACAAGTCAAGAGTGTGATGGAATACTCCCCACTTGCCTGGATGGGTGCAGCCCCAACAACACTCAAGAAGCTTGACACCATCCAGGACAAAGCAGCCCGCTTGATTAGCACCACGCCTGCAAGCATTCATTCCTTCCACCACCGATGCTCAGTAGCAGCAGTGTGTACTTTCTGCAAGATCCACTGCAGAAATTCACCATAGATCCTCAGACAGCACCTTTCAAACCCACGCCTACTTCCATCTCGAAGGACAAGGACAGCAGACATATGGGAACACCACCACCTCCAAGTTTCCCTCCAAGACACACATCATCCTGACTTGGAAATATATTGGCATTCCTTCACTGTTGCTGGGTGAAAATCCTGGAATTCCCTCCCTAATGGCATTGTGGGTCAACCCACAGCATGTGGACTGCAGCAGTTCAAGAAGGCAACTCATCACCACCTTCTCAAGGGCAACTAGGGATGGGCAAGAAATGCTGGCTGGCCAGCAACACCCACGAATCCCACAAATGAATAGAAAAGAACTTTCCCCCTCTCACTTTTAAACCTATGCCCCATGTTATTTGTCACTTCCACTGTGGGAAAAGGGCTCCAACTGTCCACCGTATCCATGCCTCTCATAATTTTATGTACTTCTATCAGATCGCCCCTTAGCCTCCAATGCTCGAGCAAAAACAATCCAGGTTTGCCCAAACTCTCCTTGCAACTAATCAGGCAACATCCTGGTAAATCTGTTTTGCTCCTTCGCCTAAGCCTCCACATCCTTCCTATTGTGTGGGAACTAGAATTGCACGCAATTCTTCAAATAAGGCCTAATTAAAGTTTTATACAACTGCAATAACACTTGCCACCTTTTAAACTCAGTGTCCCAACTGGTGAAGGCAAGCACGTCAGATGCCTTCTTTACCATGTTCTCCACTTGTGTAGCCACTTTCAGAGAGCTATAGACTTGCACCCCAAAATCCCCCTGTATATCAATGTGCCGAAGGGTCCTGCCAATTTACTGTATACTTTCCTCTTTCATTTGACCTTCTTTGTGTCTCGTGACCAATTCTGATTTTGGACTTCTCATCTTATCTAGTGTTTCACTCACTCCTCTGTAAATTTTTCCTGCTACCTCCAAAGATACGGTTAGTTCAATTTTTCAGGCAGCTTCCTTGACAGAGCGAGGGAAGAGTGAAATAGATTTGTAAGTTCCTCAGTTTTAAGCCCTTGAGCGGTTCATTTTTCCCTTGTTATGCCAAGCGGTATTCTCTCAACAGGAAATATGTAAATAATATAGAGAGAAGCCTCTAATCTCAGCTTGTTAATAGACCATTCTAACAAATGCTCAGAGAATGGGCAGGGTTACTGCTTCACTACAAATGGGAATTCCATTATCAAAATAGCGAAGAGGATAATTTATATGCCTTTCTCTTTATTACATACTATTAGATTTGTTCTTAAATAATATATTATGACAACTTATACGGGATTCTGTTAAAGTGAAAGGTGTTGAGATATATTTTCTTTTAATTTGGCTGCAACTGAAACCGCCTTTGATGTTGATTTTGTAGCGGAGGTGTTTGAGCCTTGTCACAACCCTGGGGTGCCTGACAATGGTTACCAGACCACAGAGAAGAGGTTGTACCAAGCAGGGGAAGCCTTGCGGTTTGCCTGTTATGACGGCTATGAGCTCAAGGGGGAAGCCAATATCAAATGCATTCCAGGACACCCCTCAGAGTGGAGCAACCCACCTCCATTCTGCAAAGGTAAATTTTGCAGTCACTGACAGAGAGAGAAGACTGTGAAGCCTTACTTTTAGATGAAATTTATTTGTTTTTCTTTGCAGGGTGTTTCGGCGGGATATGCTTTGTCAAAAATGTTGATGTTTCATTCACTTTGGAAGGGTTTTCTATTAGTTTAAATCTTCTTATGCTCAGGCTTTTGAGTGTTATGGGTGCACCCTTAATTAATGCTTTAATTCCACTCTCCTTTGTATGAGTGTTGGCCCAAATGATTTCTGATCATTCAAAGTGCAGGTTGTCTCATTTTAATAAACTTCCCAATGGTCCTCTATTTGATGGCCCGAATGTTAACTGGCAGCTTTCAGGCCAGAAAGACACTGTGTTCCACCACTTGAGAAATGCTTCCTGTTTACTATACCAGTGGACCAGAAAAGAAGCAACTGGTGTGAACATTGGGTCAGAGTTAAAACCATTGCTGAGAATTGTATTTTTACAGAAAAATGTAAAATATCCTTAAATAAACTTAAAAATCTGTAACCTATGTTAAGAAAAAAGAAAACAGCTTTGAACTTAATCAGTTCCAGTATAAAAAGGAATCTAGTTAAAATCATGCAAATTTGAAGGTTAAAATGCTTCAAATGCTTGTAAAAATCTCAGAGTCTGATGTAGCAAGCATAGAATTTAACTAATTAAGTCATTGTAAAACCTTGGTTCTGCTAACGTGGCTTAAAATGACATCCATCTGATTTTCATTTCAGTTACTTTTGATAAATACTTCAACGAACGTAGACTGGAAGGTAAGAGAATATGGTTGACCTTTAACTGCCCCACACTCACTCCCAACAAGAATGTGCAGAAAGTACTGTTTTGATAGTGTCACCCACTTTCCAAGAACAACTTAAATTCATTGGAATTCTGAAAAAGAGTCGTAACGGACTTGAAAAATTTACACTGTTTTTCTTTGTCCACAGAGGCAGCCAGACCTGCTAAGTTTCTCCAAAATTCTGTTTATTTTATGTTATATTAAATGAATTGTGTACCATTTGTAAACAAATATGCCTTAAAAAGGTGTTGAATTTTTTGTATGAATAGCTTTTCCATCAGTCGATGCTTTATTTTAGTACCAACATTTGTAGACTTGGATTTCATTTCTTGAGGCTTAGTCTGCATTGGAGCATATTGTAGTGATATTTCTTCTGCTCCTGAAATAGCAGGCTTCCAGTGCAGAATGTTGAGCTAAATCAGATGTGGTATGTTTGCATTCTGACACGGATTTGCATGAGGGATATCTCCCTCTGCTAAGAAATTAATTTTTCGTTAACACTTTGGATTTTTAAATCTTCAAATTATGCCAGTCTTTCACCCACATGGATCATGAAGGTGACTTTGTGGAATGATCAGCCATAATTTTTAAAGTGGAATTAAAAAAAAAAGTACAGGCCCACTGAACATTCCTGAATTTACGTTGTTGCTAAAATAAATTTAATTCAAATCTTCAATGGTTTTATATTTTGATGTGAGCTTTCTAGCTCACTCTTCACAGCATTGTTTCTGCTCATATTGTAACATAGCAGAGGTCAGCAGTCACCCTGCCCCTGATAACTAAAACTGAAACGCCCAGAGAGGCTCACCTCGCCTCATAATCTGTTAAAGGAAGTGTGAAAGCTCGTATAACCTGCCTCTTACCCCCTCCAACCTGGGGAGGTGATGGACTGGTGGTGTTATTGCTAGACTGCTAATCCAGAGACCCAGATAATGTTCTGGGGATCCGGCTTGGAATCCCCACCATGGCAAATGGTGGAATTTGAATTCAATAAATATCTGGAATTAGCAATCTAATGATGATCATAAATCCATTGTCAATTATCAGGAAAAACCCATCTGGTTCACTAATGTCATCCTTACCTCCACCAAAGTTGGTGGAGTTGTGGATAGTGCGGAAGGATGTTGCAGGTTACAGAGGGACATAGATAAGCTGCAGAGCTGGGCT